CTTGGCATCATCTGTGAATTACTGAGGGTGCACTCAATCCCCTTGTCCAGATCACTGATAAAGATACTAAACAGGACTGGGCCCAAGACTGAGCCTTGGGGATCAGCTGGATGAACTCCACTTCCCACCACTCTGGGCCCTGCCATCACCCAGTTTATCACCAGCAAACAATGCACCTATCCAAGCCATGAGCAGACAGTTTCTTCAGGAGAATGATGTGTGACGCAGTGCAAACAGGATCAGGGAGCTGCCTAGGAAGAGTCTCAGGTGAATCCAGGAGAATACAGTACAGGACTGCTCAGCTTTCAAATCAATCTTGCTTAAAGAATTCTACAAAACTGTAACAAAACAAACACAGACACAAAAACCCCAAACAAATAATGAAAAAAAAACCAAACAAACAGGCAGAAATTAAAAAAAAAAAACTAAAAAATCAGGTTGAAGGTTTTTATTAAGTTAAAAAAAAATCAAAACAAACAAAAAGTCACATTTCTAAAGGCTGCTTTCCCAGCCTCTTCTCTCTGCTGGGAGGACATCCTGAAGTGGAGTCAGCTGGAAGCAGGTGGGACAGGACCGAACATGGGCTATTCTCACAGGCCAGCCCTGTGGCTCCCCCATTGCCAAAACCTGGACACATAAACTAAACATAGGTAAGCACATGTGTATAGACATAGCAAAAATATATTTGTCTTAAAAAATATTAGTCTTGGCCACACATTTATACCACTGGAAAGAACATAGTCACTCCTTTCAGTTTTCTTTTCAGTCACTACAAATGTTTAGAAAATATAGGAGTGCAAAAAATGGAAATATCCAAGATCAATATGAAAACAAATAACAAAGATTCCATTTTGAAACTTTGCATTGGACATCCTTTGTAGAAATTTACTCAGAACTTTAAGATTTACAAAAAAGATCAAGAGTATTGGAGTCAAATGGCTTCTGTGTTAGTACAACACAATCCATGGAGACTTCAGCTGGCTGCCTTGGTTTCTCAAATATGATGGAGGGAACATCTGAGCAGCTACAGCTCCCAGTTCTCTCAGGGACCTGCCATGCATCTGGGTGGGTCCCATGGCCTTGTGCATGATCAGGTTCCTCAGGTGGTTTTAAACCTGACCTTCTGCTACAAGGGGCTGGAATTAAGTCTGCCAGCCCAATAACCTGAGAGATGTGGGAATAGTGACTGGCAGTAAAAATTGAGACCAACAATTGTTGAGTACCTCAGCCTCCTCCTTGTCTGTTGTCACTAGTCCTGTCTGGCTTGTGGGGGTAGGGGGGAAATAGGGGAGGTTTCTTTTTATCTTTCTTTTCCCACTGAAGTACCTCTAGGTGCCCTTATTATTATTTTTAAAGGCTTTTCCAAATGCAGCTTCAGCTGAACCTTAGCTATACTGATCTCATCCTCACACACCAATGTGTTATCTCTCTATCTTTCCCATGATGTGTGCCACTACATATTGCCTGCATATGACCTTCTTGCATCACATATATTAACTTTCAATAACCCTCTTGCTTTAACTTTCTTTCAAAAACCACTTTGCATTACATATGTTGTATGCATATTATTTTCTTGCATTTTAAACAAGGAGATCCTTACACTGCCAAGCTGGTCTCCTGCATTCCTTGTTTGACTTCTTACAAGTGGCAATTGTGAGCCCTTGTTCTCTAAGAAGAATGTCTTCAAATAGGTGCCAGCTCTGTTCAGCTCCATTATCCCTGAGGACAGTTTCCAAGGCATCCTATCCACTACTTCCTTAAAGAACTGAAAGTTTGTTCTCCTAAAATTTAGGGTCCTCATCACAGCCACTCTCAAGTGCTCCTGCAAATAAAAGACAATATATAGACAAATGTTTACAGAAGCCATTTTGAATACATACAGGGAAAAAAAAATAAAGAGCAGTTCTTATGCCAAGGATGAAAGCCCAGCACTCAGAATTCACAGCTGGCACTCACTCCCAAGTGCTGCAGCAATACTGAGTCCCAAGGCACAGGAAACTGCCTTTACCATTGCACCCTTTGCACTCTCCTGAAAAAGCAAGCACTGGCACACTGCTGCTGTCCTTCCCTACACACGGATTTCAGCACAGACCTTCTTGCTTCTCACGTTGTGCATTCCCATTTGTAGACTGCAAAGGCAGTGTGATCAGGAGATGGTTCTTTGTTTGCAGGACTTTGAACACACCTTCTAAATACCTGCTCTGTTTATGTGGCTGTAAAATGGAATTGTTTCTAAAAATTCCGAGCAAGTGTGCTACAAGGCTTAAATAGTAATTCTGCATTAAGTACTTTTCCTTCTCCAAAGGAGCGGTGCCTTCCATTGTCCGTGGAAGATCAGAGATTTTTCCCATCCTTTCATCACAGGACAGGAAATGCAAGGAGCGGGCAGGACCCGGTGTGTGCCGGCAGCGACCGCCCGGTGTCCCCCTTGTACCGCAGAGCGCTTGAAGCGCCTCCGGCCCTTCTGCTGCTGCTGCTGCTGCTGCTCGTGGGACTTCACCGTGAGCCCGAGGGATCGCCGCTGGAATTGGCCCCGCGGCATCGCCCGCTGGGAATTCACACCTGAGGGATCACTTGCCTGGGAATTCACACCTGAGGGATCACCGCCTGCCAGAACGTCACCGTAGTCATCTTACCACGGGAGAAGTCTGCAGAGGAACAGCAAGCTACAGCTGAAAGATCTGTGGCGTCAATTATTCCGTGGTAATTCCTCACCTGCTGGGCACAAAAAGAGATTTAGCAGCTGCTTCTTCCTCAGCTGAGGAGTGTCCTGCGTGTTTCAGTTCAAGGACCCAAAGCACCATTTCGTAAAGGTGAAAAGCCAAAAAGCACAAGCTCTCTGCAGTGAAGCTTCCCTCCCAGAGCTGCTGTGCACTGCTCACACAGTGCAGAGGAGGCACCAGAGGGTGCAATCGCTGTCTGCTGATGAGTCCTGCCTCAGAGGAATCAGCAGAGAGCTAGAGACTAGGAATGATTATCAGGCTCCCTGGTTTCTCTTCTTTCTTGCATATTGGACTAGTGAAAGGGTTGTGGTATTGAAATGAAATCATTCTTTGTGACAGCTTCCTCTAAGCTTTATTCTCCACTTAAGATTGTTCTGCATCCTGGAAAAGACCTGATTCCCCTTTGCTTTGTGTTCATCTTCTGCTACACTTTGGCTGGTAACAAAAGAATTACTGAACTGCTGCTTTGGAGTGGAGAGAGAAATCACTACTGCAGCTGAACATGAGCCAGCACGGTGCCCAGGTATGCAAGAAGGTCAAGGGAAGCCTGGCCTCTACCAGACGTAGTGTGGCCAGTAGGATCAGGGCACCGACTGTCCCCCTGTTCTGGGCACTGCTTAGGCTAAACCTCGAATCCTCTGGTTATTTGTGGGATCCTCATGACAAAAAAAGACATTGAGGGACTGGAGTGTGTCCACAAAAGGCAACAGATCTAGGGAAGGAGCTGGAGAAGGAGCAGCTGAGGGAGCTGGAGGTGCTCAGTCTGGAGAAAAGGAAGCCTCAGGGAGGACTTCTGGCTCTGCACAACAGGAGGGTGTGACCAGGTGATGACTGGACTCTTCTCTCAGGTAACAAGTAACAGACAAGAGGAAATTGCCTCAAGTTGCACCTGTGGAGGTTTATTATGGAACCATTGAGTTGGAAGGAACCCACCAGGATCATCCAGTCCAGCTCCTGGCCTGGCACATGACAGCCCAATAATACCATCACATGGGCTCAGCATTGTCCAAATATTTCTTGAACTCAGATAGGCTTGGTGCTGTGACCAATTCCCTGGGGAAGTCTGTTCCAGTGCTCAACCACCCTGCAGGGAAAAAAGCTTTTCCTGATATCTAGCCTAAACCTTCCCTGACTTAGCTCAGGGAGCCAGATTATGCTGAACCACTGCTTTGGGGCTCTTGATTAATGCCTATTAACACTATCATTATTGATTATTTGTCAGAGGCTAAGACAGAAATAAATCATAAACTTTCAGACCGAGTTTGCGCTCTGCAGAACAATCCTTTAGCAGGACACAGTCTATAAGCACCTGGTTTGAAACACTACTCTGAAATACAGGCAGCCCACTTTCTCCACAGCTCTCAGTCCCTTGAAACGAAGTGCTCCAGAGTTCCTTGAGTCACCTGGTCAGGATTTTGCCCACTCGCAAAAGCACTTGCCTGTGACCTCTATGTATGAGCAGCAGACGTGATGAGCTGATTGCTCCAGCAACACCATCCGGGAAAGCCTTTTTTCACCTCTAGATTACCCTCTTTACTTGTCAAACATCGTCCTCATCAGAGCAGAATCTACTGCTCCCTGTGCTTTGGCGACCTTGCCGGCTTCGAGCCTTCCCCACTACTGCTCCCTCCCACAGCCCTGCTCGCAGCCCCTCAGGCCGCTCCTTCCCCTGTCCCGCCCGCCAGCGGTACCACGGACAGGAACACCCCTGGGGCAGAGCCGCCACTTCGGCTAAACCACCACAAAGGCTCCAGAGCTTCCCAGCTTCACACTTACAGAACTTCAAGATGCTGTCATTAAAACGGACCCTTTTCCACCGATGCAAACAACTCGCACACGGCGGGGGGAGGTGGGGGGGGGCCGAGGCCGTGCCGGCCGTGGGAGAGCCCCGGGCCGGGGCGGCGGTCCGAGTGGCGCCGAGTCCAGCCGAATGACGCCGAGTCCAGCCGAGTGACACCGAGAGTAATCGAGTGACACCGAGTGACGCCGAGAGTAATCGAGTGACGCCGAGCTGCTCCGAGCGGTGTGTGGTGGTCGCGGCGCCGCCTCTCCGGGCGGGTCCGGGAGGGCGCGGGCAGTGCTCGGGACAGGTGATGGCCAGAGGCCGGCGAGCAGGGTGGTGCTGCCCGGCGTTGGGGTTGCAGCCCTGGGTGCTCGCACCCTTCCAGGGTGCACAACGCTGCCGCTGGTTTGGGGGAAACCACCCAGCGGGCGTGCTCTTGCTTTGAGGTGCTCGGAAGCCGGAGGGCGACCGGCTCTTGGCCGTGTGTCCTGGGACGTGGGCGGGCGCAAACGCCTGGAACGGGGAGCAGCCTCTGCGGTATCCATGAGGAAAGCCGTCCCGTGGACATGCCGGGGGTCTTCTGGCCAGCCACAGCTGCCTCCATGGGGACGTCGGTGGAGGGGCCGCCAGAACTCTTGATGCGAGGACGGGACAGGACGGGACAGCACAGCGTGTGATGATGTTTCTCCTCAGAGCCACACTCCGCTGCTGAGCAGCACAGAGCTCGCACCGCGGGACCCTGGGTGCCTCCCTGGGGCGCTGCAGACTGGCTCAGCTGCAGACGGGGAACAGGGACGTGGCGTGGTGGGACATAGCACAGAGCGCCATTATCTTGTCTTCCAAGTATTTTAAGAAATGGGCTGAAATCCAGACAAAAATATGTTTTCCAGTTTCTGCGCCTTTACCTGTAGATCAGAACAATGGTATTTCTTAGCCGTAAGGCAAAAAAAGGCGTTAGTCTAGCCTCAGGAATGGCAACGACTTGGGTATTCAGAGAAAATGTATGGGGAAGACCTTAGAAGTTCCTTCCCCTAAGCGGAGGTGTGTTCTCATTGCCGTGCTGAGCTGAAAGGTCCGGTCGTGGGAAGTCTGGTCCGCCTTGTGCAGAGACGAACACAAACCGGGGGCTGCGTTCCCCGGTTCCGGAGCTCAGGTCCCGGGTGAGCGGGCCGGGATGGCCGGCCGGGTACTGCCGGCAGCGGCCGCCGGGGGGCGCTGTGGATGAGGCGGGCCCCGCCCCCGTTGGTCTGACAACGGCACGCGCGGGCTCGGCGCGAGCGCGTCCGAGCGGGACCGCCTGAGGGCCCCTGGGGGGCGGTGAGAGACCCGGGAGCGACACCCGGAGCGACACCCGTGGGGCCTGGCAGGGGAGCGGTAGGCGTGGAGTTTCACCGTTAGGAGTCTCCGGGAGGCTACGAAGCTGCTGTGAAGGCTGGTGCTCCTTTGCTTTAGGACAAGCTGAGAGAGCTGGGGGTGTTCAGTGTGGAGAAGAGAAGGCTCCAGGGAGACCTTAGAGTCCCTTGCAGTGCCTACAGAGGCTCCAAGAGAGCTGGAGAGGGTCTTTGGAAACGGGCCCGGAGTGGCAGGACAAGTGGGAATGGCTTCAAACTGCCAAAGGGTGGGGATAGATGGGAGCTTGGAAAGGAATTCTTCCCTGTGTGGGTGCTGAGGCCCTGGCACAGATTGTTCAGAAAGGCTGTGGCTGCCCCATCCCTGGGAGTGTCCAAGGCCAGGCTGGATAGGGCTTGGAGCAACGGGGGATAGTGCAAGGTGTCCTGCCCATGCCAGGCAGTTGTAAGATGATCTATCTTTAGGGTCCTTTCCAGCCCAAACCATTCTGGGATTCTGGGATTCAAGGAAGGCCCTTTTCCAAGTGAAGTGTTGTATCTCCTCTTGGCTCCCAGCTTGTAGTTGCCAGTTCTGGAAGCAGGCGCGGCCAGTCAGCTGCGATGAGCCATGTGTTCTCAATAGGACGAGTGTGACATGTTCACAGAGAGATCTGTAAACAGATCTTCAAGGCCCAGGTCAAAAAAGCAGAGGATTGAGTAAAAGCCAAAGGAGTTTGTTGTGTTACTCAGTTTGCTGGCTGTTGAAATGATCCCAGGTCATTTTCAACATTTCTGGTTTTGGTTTGTTTTAGGAAAAAATGGATGTGTTATCTCCAGCATATGCTCTCCAGTGAATCTACATGTGTTCCCATCTCTTTGTTGTCTATCAGGTTATATTAACTAAAGGCAGAATCATAACAGAGTAGTAAAACGTTTAGAGGCATAATTAGCCAAATACAGGCATTTTTAACTCTGCTGTTAACTTTGGTAACTGTAAGCAAGGCAGCACAATCCAGTTACTCCACTTTTCCTCTCTAAGCAAAAGATTATCCTTTTTTTTTTTTTTCTCATTTTGAAGATAGCCTTAGATGAAAGTGGTTATGCATGTGGTGTGTAGGGTTCATTATTTTACTTTTCTCTTCTGCTGTCTTTGCCCTGCTGTTTTTATTAATTATTTTGTCGCTGTTCTCCATTCAGTAGGTTTGAAGGAATTCTAATTGTTGAGATTATGTTTCTTTAAAGGCTCACTTAGCCCACCTTTTGGATGAAGGAAAAAAGACAAGATTCTCTAAGAAGAGTAAAAAGTACACTTTAAATAGGCATTCAGAAATGTCTGCTGATGCCATGCCATTACCATGTAATCAGCAGAAATGTGTTGGTGAAACAGCCATCAGTGACTTCACAAAAAAGCCACAGTCAGACAGGTAAAGAACAGAAGCATAAAACCCCAATGATATGTTCATAACTAGAGGGATGAAATGGACAGATTTTCAGTGGGAATTAGGAACTACTGAATTCTTGGTCATAGAACTAACGACTTGTAATAGACTGTCTCCTTGCCAAGTGTAAATTTAGTATAATGAACTGCTTGCTGCCCATTGAAGTGCAGGCTAACAGACCAATATTTGCAATAGAAGGCATACTGTATGGCTTTCCTTTTAAAAAGAAGTTGTCTTTGCTCATAGCAATCTAGATATATACCCAGTCTGAAACATATTTTTTAGGCTATATTTCCAAGTAAATGGCTTACATGATGATGCTGTAAGATAATGTGACAAACAAGAATGAAGATAATACAACCATTCTTTTTTATCCTAAGCCAGCTGCTGAATAATGATACAGGGATTCTCACTGAGCCCAAGGAGAAACCCAGTGCCCAAGCTGTTGGGAAAAGCACTTGGGCAGATAAAGGCTATTTCCACGTTTCTTGCTGGTGTCTCGTAAAGAGTTCACAGTTTTTTACCTGTTAGAACTGTTCTGTATGTCTCTGTAGTTTACACATTCTAAATCTAACATGTATTGCTTTAATGCCATCTTAATAGATTTTAAGCTGGGATCTACCATCCAGGCTTCAATTTGTCTCAGAAGAAGCAACATTGATTCTTTAAATTATATTCTTTAAAGTTGGGATGATACTTAGGATCACTTTAATGTTACATTTTGCCAATTAAAGTGAATTATACTATTATGTTAGTCCCTCTTCTGGTGCATTAATAGTACAAATTGAAGCTTTATTCACTTTCTGTTTCAGACAACCTACACCTTTTTCAGAAGCATTGGGAAATGTAGATGCAAGTTCAGCTGAGAAAGTCAGAGGCCTGCCTGATGTAGTTGGTAAAACTGGTTTCTCTTAATGTCATCTATT